GGGGGGGGGGGGGGGGGGGGGGGGCCGGATAATAAATTTTGAAAATCACGAGAAACCACCGCTCGAGCAAATCGATAGCGAAACACGTTTCGCATCGGACTTGGAGAGCTCGACGTAATTCTTTTGATTACATCCACTTTCGCAATTACAACCGCGCGTCGCGTCGGCCGGACTTCAGTAGTATCATCCGAAATATGCGGGGCGCTCCGATAAGCGCGACGCGATTAAACCGGCTCTGACGGCGAACAACACACTACGTCGTCGCGGCGTATCGAGACACGATGAGCGAAACACGAAGCGAATGTTTAAACAAAGATTTGGCTGTGTCACTGTAACCGTTTGTTTGATTTGTAAACCTTTCTTTCGTTACACGCCTGAATCGGGAGCTCTCGAGAAGGATAACGAGAGTCGGAGGACAAAGTGGGAGAGAGAAAGAGAGAATGCGCAATACGTGGAGTCCAAGGCAGAACGAGATGAGTCGCGAATGAATCGAGGAAAAGAGAAAGAAAGAGAGAGAGAGCAAATGAGCGAATGGGGGAGAGAAAGAACTAGAGTGAGAAAGGGAGAGCGAGAGAGTGTAAAAGTAATGTCTGTTTCTATCAATTTTGGTTAACTTAACCGGGTGGTTATTCCAACCGAATGGACCAATCTGTCAATTCTGAATAACGAGAAATGCGTTTGCTCAATTCCGTTGGAATAACCGGTTAAGTTAACCAAAGTTGGTAGAAACGGGCATTAACCTTAATCGCGTATATTTATCGCGCATTTAACGTTAAACGTCGAGGTTAACAGGCTCCGTGTACGTTTTATTGCGAGCTTACGACCGAACGTAATTGTACTTCACGTTAAATTCGCGAGGGGAATACGAGTTCGAGACCGGATGGAACACGAAATCACGATGAAGTCGAAATGACGAGAAAATGACTATAAAAAAACTCACTTCTCGACAATGATTCGATCATTTTCCCGTCATTCGGACGTCATTGAGACGTCATTATCGTGATTTTTTGTTGTATCTGTGGGAGTGAGTCGTGGTGAAGGAGAAGAAAGAGGGAGAGGGAGGTAGGGAGGGAGGGAGGGAGAGAGAGATTGTTTCGAAGCCGTGCGTCGTTCACCGATCGAATTGTTGTAAGGAGTAGAGAACACGTCAACTTTAAACGGCCATTTTCGACGCGAAACGATCGGAAACTTTACCTTGTTGGTGCTCCACGTGAAACGCGAGCGCCCTGACCGTTCGCTGGGCGAAGGAGAAGTCACGCGCGCGATTGATGCCGCTTTCGTACGCGCCGGCAATCAATCAAACGACCAATCTGCGAGGGGAGGAGGGATGTGCGCCCTTCCTCCGTAGTTGAGAAGATGCGCGAAAATCGAAGGCGCGAGAAGAGCGGAAGAGTCGGCTCGCTATTATTACCCTTCACCGCGCCCCGGTAATTTTCCGGGCGCTTATACTCTTTATATCGTCACACGCAGGAACAACCAACCAATCAACCAACCAACTAATCAACCAACTAACCAACCGACCCACTAACCAACAAACAAACAAACGCACTTTTTGATCGTGTAGATGTCTTTTCAAAATTTTGATATCCATATTATACAATTACTATACAATTGTACACCACCGACTGTTGATAAAGAGCCGCGCGACGCGAGGCGACGCGAAATTTGTATGCGTTTACAAGTTTTAGCATCGAGCACGGATTGGTCGACTATACTCGCATACGGAAACCGTAGATTACTCATGCAGAATAATCACTCATTTTTTTTCCGCTGGAGAACCGCCACGACAGACAGACAGATAGACAGCAGAAGACACGCGTAGAGCGTTCGACTCGTTAGCGCGTCTCGTTGTGCGACCGCAAAGTAAAAAAAAGTCACTTTGTGTTAAAAATGGTCCTAAAATTTTTGTATTAAATTCTTGATATATCCGTGTGTCAATTTAACATATTATGTTTGTGGTATCCGAGTATTTTGTGTTAAATTGATATTTAACACGTATAAATGCTGAAATAACACATTTGTGTTCAGATTCTCGCATTTTATGTTTTAGTGCAGATAAAAAAATTAGGGATATTAAGAGAATGCTGGATGCCGACATAATGTAACTTTGTGTTTTTTGCACAGTTTTTATTTGATTGTATAGAATTGCAAGTGCTTATACGGAGTGAAAGTGCAAATATATGTGCATGTGTGAATGGCGAAGTTATATAAAAATACCCCATATTATATAAAAACAAAATATTTATAACATTTTTTTTGCTTTTGATGTAATATGAGGTACTGCATTATTCATTGACATTTATACTTTTACTCTGTGCAAAAATATGCAATTTAATATAATCAGATAGAAAAACAGGGCAATATATGCTGCATTGTCGATATCCAGCATCTCCTTAATTTTATTGAGAAATTAGGTTTTCATCATCTAACATATACAAGGTACGAAATGTATCTGCAATCACATTTGAAATAATGTAGTAGATAATATAAAGCGACACACTCCGAAGTGTGAGAATTCTCGAGTTCGATCTCATATGTAGCAAATATAAATTTTCCAAATACGATATCAATTTAATCAATTAAAATGGCACATAATTTGAAAGATTGCAAACAAAACCATTGGCGATACCTTAAAAACAACTTAAAAAATTAAAAACAACGTAAAAAAGATGTAATAAATAGAGTATTTTTCTCAGTGTGAAAATAACATTTTTTGTCTTACATTTAACATTATAAATTGACAATTTTACATAAAATTTGCTTGAAAGTAATTTCAACAATAATTCGTTTTTATTAATTTCTAACATAATATTTGTGTTATTTTTTAACATATTCGCTTTGTGTTAAATTAACACACAAATGGACCATTTAAGACATGTAAAATGCATTAAATTTAATAAAAAATTTTTTACTATGCGAGACACGAGCGAATTAATGAAAAAACGGAAAATTAGCGCGTGCACGTTGCTGTATCATTAATTATCTTTTTATGCGGACCAGAATAGATAACCAAGAAAGGAGAGAAAGAAGGGGAGAAAGAGGAACAACTTAACGATCAACTTCTGCATAGCTGTTCGGAAAGATGTATACCAATAGCAACAATCGGATTGAGAGGTGAAAAAAGAATTTTCTGCCAAAGTTTTCGTTTTTTTGGAGAATGCATCAGTCTCGCAACTTTCTTACCAGTTTTTTTACCGACGTAATTATTAAAGTTATTAGTCGATATTATTAAAGTTTTGTTAAAATTGAGTCTCCATACTGAAATTAAACCATAATTAAACCTTGAGCGAGATGAGATTGTTGATTATTTCTAAATATTTAAATTTTCGAAGAGTTTCCAACTTGTTGCACTTTTGTTGAGCGACTCGTTAGATGATTTATCGATTAAATTTTAGTATAGTGAAAATTTAATCTAAAGTATATATGCAGAGAGAGATAAAGAGACAAGGAGAGCTGCTATTGTTATACACTTTTTAGAACACTCCTATACTCCTGTTGTATAATAAAGTGCTACGAAAGTAAGAAGCATTGTCCGCCAGATCTCGGCGTTGGACATTAACGATAGCTGTATAACGCATATGAAAT